TTGCACACATACCAAGCAAGTAAACACTACCATTGAACTACATCCAGAACCTTCCCACTCAACCTTTACAAATGAACACTGTGTATCATGTAGTTCCTTCAATGTGTGGATATGTGTGCTAAAAGCAGTTTGAAAAACTTGTTTCCTATGATCCCAACATTTGGGGAGGATAATCTCTAGGTCAGCCTGGGCCACATGTCTAAAACCCATACTTTTTAGGCTGGGTGTGGAGCTCAGTAGGTAGAGAGCCCTTGCCTAGCACATAATGCCCTAGGTTCAATCCCCCCCAGCACTGTGGAAACAAATTTTAACTTTTATGTATATGAATGTTTTGCCTATGTAAGTGCATATGCATGTGATGCAATGTCCCTGGAGGCCAGGAAAGGGTATTAGATAGTTGTCAGCCACAGTGTGGGTGCTAGGAACTGAACCCAGGTCCTTGTCAAGAGCAGCCAGCAGTCAACCACTGAGCCATCCCTTTTGTTTCTAAAATGTGTGTGTACGTGTATGCAGTGCCCATGCATGGAGGCTAGAAGGGGAAGTCAGAGAACCTGGAATTGGAGTTGTAAGCCACTAGATGTGGGATCTGGGGTCCTCTGCAAGAGCAGTACATGCTCTTAACCACTGAACCATCTCTCTAACTCCTACATTGGTTCTTGGATGATTTTTGTGTGTGTTTGAGTGTATTGCCTGTATGTGTTAAGGGCACCCATGTTGTGCAATGCCTGTGGAGATCAGAAGGTATCGTCAGATCCTCTGGAACTGGAGTTACAGATGGTTGGTAGCCGCCATGTGGGTGCTGGGATTTGAACCTGGGTCCTCTGCAAGAACAGTCAGTGCTCTTAACCGCTGAGCCATCTCTCCAGCCCTGAAACATCTTTTTTTTTTTTTTTAATTTCAAATGTTCATTATCAGAATCCATTGGAATTTTTTGACGAGAGCTTCCAAAAGCATCCCTTGGTTGGGTTCCTCCTCCTCTTTCTTTTGTCTGCCAAGGCTGAACTTGAGAGTGATGGACTCAGGATTTGTTTTCAGGCACTTTGATACCTGTTGGAGTGGTTAGAATCAGTGTCAGTTCCCTTGAAAAGGCTTCTAGATAGGGGGAGAAAACAAATTTAGCCATCATTTTAGAACAATAGTGGGTTGTCTCCCTTAGCTACAGGTGGGCACTACAGTATTGCAGACCAAGATTTGAAGTCATACATCTGGTTTGAAACAAAATCATCAATGGGAAATAATTGTCTAATCCTTGAACTCTTAAATATACTGATGGCTTTACTCTTTGGTTATTCTTCCCTTTTGGGTGCTTAAGACCATACAGTTGGCCCAAATAAATCAATTTATTTTTACACTTAAGGTCATTTGAGGATCTGTTCCTCAGGGGTCACATGGGCTTGGGAGGAGCCCCTGGCTCCTTCCTTTTACCAGTTCCATCCATGTGAAGATAAGTCAAAGATCCTGCTCGACCATGTCTGGCTTCACTTGGAAGCATGGATGAGATGTTTCCTTTGAGTTAATCTTCCTTTTTGTAAACTGGACACTGGTTTAAGTCCATCTCTGGTGGGTCTCTATGGCCTCCCTGGAAACACCTTTTTTAAAAAAAATTTGTGGCCTGTCTCCATGTACATTTAAGTGCACATGTATTTAAATGCCTGTGGAGGCCAGAAGAGGGCGTTGGATCCTCTGGAACTGGATGGAGTTACGGATAGTTGTTAGCAGCCTCCACCAAACCTGGGTCCTCTGCAAGAGCAGCCAGTGCTATTAAACTCTAAGCCATATATCTCTCTAGTCCCATGTCTTTTTCAACTAGATCATAAAACTGGTTTAAGGACCAGTCCTTTCCTTACTGGCTGAATTGGTAATGCATGCAGTGGTTACTGGGCTAGTCTGTGATTATAAATGAACATATGTCGTTTTTTTTCATTTATGATGAGCAATGTCAATTATAAAATTTAAGGAATAAGAATATTATCAAAGCACTAGAAACTGAAAAGAAATATCACAAACTTGAGGAAAGGGGAATAGCCAAATGATGATGGAGGGGGTCATTCAAGTTTTCCTCTGCATATTACATGAATTGTGAATCTGCATACTTATATAACTGGAGAATTGAGACTACGGAGTGAAGAAAAAAAAGATTAAAGCAAAACTAGTAATGCTGCCTTACTGTTATATCTCCAGTCTAAAACAGTGCCAGATGCGTACTTGGCACTCTGTGTTTCTGGACGATGAGTACAACTGCACCTATATGAACAGTGACTAAGCATCTATCAACTTCAGTAGCAGTCTCTGGACTGTAGGTGTTAATCTACATTTTTTCACTGTTGAAATTTGCTACTACAAACATTGCTGGAAATAAAGTTCACTAATACCTTCTGACTGCAGGGCAAGTATTGATGGAAAGCGGTTTGGGAGTACCAGTGTCTACCCACAGGCCTAGTATTTCACTTGGAAGACAGATTTATACAGCCATGCAAGGATACCTGTACACTGACATGCCTGACAGCAGGGTTTGTGGTTGAGTCAGATTAAAAACACCAGAAGTAGATTAAATATCCATTAAAAGATGCTAAATAATGGGCATATCCATTCCACCGTGCATCTTTTAGGAAATACAAGCTAGATCTATAGAGTAACAGGGAGGTACAGGGTACACTGTTGAGTAAACAAGTCTGCTAGGTTTGGTCGTGCATGCTTGTGATCCCAGTATTTGGGGAGAGGCAAGAGGATCACTGAAATCAAAGCCAGCCTGGGCTACACAGTGAAAAAAAAAAAAAGTTCAAGTCATCAGTACATACAGCCACCTGACTGTAATAAATTGCAGGAATAAAAAAGCCAATATAAATTACTCCATTCCTCTAGAAATAGAAATGAGCAAGAGATGCGTATTTACCAGGGACTGAGGAGTTGGGGAGGTTGTTACAAAGTGGTGATGGAACTGTGGTCACATGACAGCTGCACAGAACTATACACACACACAATCATGGGTGCATACAGAAAGTAAAGTCTGGATAAGCTCTGTAGATGGTACTAGGTTTTGCTAGTATACTGTATAGTCAAAGATGCTACAATTGAGGGAAACCAGGTGATAGTTAAACTGGATTTACCTGGACGTTGCGGGGGGGGGGGGGGCTTTTTATGAAATCTCCAGCTCAAGATAAAAGATTAAAAAGGGCCAGGTGGCCCAGCGTGGCCATGCACGCCTTTAATCCCAGCACTAGGGAGGCAGAGGCAGGCGGATCTCTGTAAGTTCAAGGCCAGACTGGTCTACATAGTGAGTTCCAGGACAGCTGGGGCTACAGGGAGACCGTCTCAAAAAGACAAAAAAAAAAAAAAAGAGGGCCAGGCATGGTGACAGCTTTATTCCCAGCACTGGGGAATCGAGAGGTAGGCAGATCTCTGTGAGTTTGAGACCAGCTTGTTCTACGTAAGACCCTGTCTCAAAGACAAACCCCCAAGTGGCTGTACACTACAGTTCCAACTACTCAGAAGGCTGAAACAGGAAGATCTCTTGAGCTTGTAAGTTCAAAGACCTGAGTAACTCGGCAAGAATTTAAAATTTTTCTATTTTTTTAAAGCTGCACTTAGCCTGTCTCCATCCAGCATGGATGGGAGTTCCAGGATAGCCTGTTCTCTACAGGAGATGCTCCCATGAAGAACAAAAAATGTTTCATTCTAACAGCTCTAGCAAACATTGTTTATCTCACTTAAACGTCCACAAATAGTAGTCAAATTCTAGAAGAAAATTTAGAGACTCTTTAAAGATGGGTTTGGTGTATCTCAGGCTAGCCTCAAACTTGTTATGTAGTAAAGGATGATCTTGCCCTCCAAGTCCAGAACTGATGGGATTACAGGTGTGCTGGGGATCAAATGCATTTGTTCTCAACAGAAGGTAAGCAACTGTCGCACAGCAAAGTCCCCCAACAAGTTCGTAATAAAGCCTCCCATCAGTTTATTGTTTTCATCAAACTTTCATTAAACAAAAGTTTCATAGTCCATGCATGTAATTACAGCACTTGGAGACAAGAGGCAGGGTTGCTGCAAGGTTGAGACCAGAAAACAACAAAAAACAACAGATCAGCAATTAACATGTTCCAGAGTAGTTAGAACCCCAAATGTTCTATTTGCGGCTTTTTTGAGGTTGTCCTTGCACTAGCAAAGATTCTCTGGCCTCTGCCATAGTGTGCATGAACCAAAATACGTGGATAGAGCCCCAAACATTTTATAGGAAACTACTACGATCATGTTTGTTTTAATGAAACTCTGGTCTAAGGGGGTCATGGTATTATAAAAATTACAGTGATTTCAGCTTCAGGACCGCAGTGTTTTCAAACTTGATTGGTGATGGCTCCGAGTTAGGACCATTTCTTGGTAACGTTGAGATGGTTGAGCTGGTCAGCAACATATCTATGTGGGGGGAACTTGGAAGTGGTGGCCGCCTTGATGGCCTCGAAAGCCTGGGCCCTGCGTTCCGCGGCGTGGCCGTACTCCTGCTCCGCTGTCAAGTAGGGCATACTCAGCCAGTAGTGGTTCTCGGCCTCCACCTCCAGGCGACGGACCATGTTCTCCTTCGCTAAAATGGACACCCACCGCGGCCGCCGGTGCTTCCCGATCCACTGCCGGCCCGGGATGCGACCGCGGCAGAGGAGCGCGGTGAGGAACATGGTGCCTGCGGGGAAGAGGATATGTAGGCCGGTGGGCTGGGACCAGGGTGCGGGACAGCGCAGCGGCGACTCACCTGACCACGTCCCAGAACGCGCTCCCTTCCTCACCGGAAGTGGATAGCGAGGCACCGACCACGCGGCAGGGGACAAGGGGGCCTCCGGAGTACCCATTGGGCCCACGGGCTCACCTGCAGCGTTCTCCAAGCCTACGCGCTCCGCAGCAGCTTGACCGACGCGACTGCGCAGGCGCGCGCTCTAGGCTGAGCCTGCTGGCGCCTTTCCGCGAGATTTCAGTTGTCGCGAGAGAATCCCACGCTTACGCAGAGTGGGGAACGCTCTGCAAGGACGGATTCAAACTTGTGGCGGGTTGATAGCTTACCCGATTCCGGGTGTCAGCCCTGCCGCCTTCGGCATGGACCCGATCCGGAGCTTCCACGGGAAGCTGCGGTCCCTGGCCAGCATGCTGGACTGCGAAGCGGCCCGGCTGCAACGGGCACTGGACAGCGAGGACAGCGGTGAGTGGCGCGCGCGCAGAGGGAGTGGTGGGGGTGGCGAGCAGGCTGCGGCGCGGGCTGGTAACCCGCCGTCTGGTGCCTCAGCCTGAGAGTTTGTTCGGCCTTGTAATACCCGGGAGAAGTTGTGCATACTTACGGAGTGTGGCTCATTAAGCTTTCTTAGGAGCGGCTCTATGTCCTGGCTCCGCTCGAGTTGATGACAACAGCACCGCTAGGTTCACGGCCGAGAGACAGCGTCGTTAATGAATAAAAATCAGGCAGGCTGAGCTCACCATACACTACACCCAATGTCCTTTCAAGGCATGCTGTGTGTGTGTGTGTGTGTGTGTGTGTGTGTGTTATTTTTTTTTTTTGTAGACATTCGTTTATCTTAAAATGCGTTAAACACTGTTTTTTGTACATGCGTTAGTGACTTGTCTCTCCCTAATGGTCCCCTGTTGTAGGAAACAGCTGCATTTTCTCCAGTAAAACTATATTGCCAGTACAAATACTCAGCCCTGATTTTTTTTTTAATTATATCTACGCGTGTACTGCCTGTGCATGTATGTAAGTGCACTCATGTCGTGCAGTGCCCGTGGAAGTCAGAAGGCCTCCGATCTTCTGAAACTGGAGTTACACAAAATTGTTAGCCGCCATGTGGATGCTGGGAATCAAACCTGGGTCCTTGGCAAGAGCAGCTCTTAACCATTGAAACATCTCTCCAACCCCCCCCCCCTTTTTTTTTTTTTTTTTTGAGACAGGGTCTTCCTTTAGCCCCAACTCGCCTGGAACTCTGTAGACGATGCGGGCCTTGAACTCACAGAGATTTGCCTGCCTCTGCCTCCTAAGTGCTGGGATCACAGGTGTGTGCCATGACGCCTGGCATCAGACCTGTTTTTATTAGAGATTTTAAAAAAAATCATTGCACTGCTGGGTGGTGGCACATGCCTTTTTTAAAAAAAGAATTATTTATTTAATAACCACATGATTAGGAGAAGCATTTCATTACAGCATTAACATATTCAATAAAAATCTCCAGAGGAAAGATGCATCTCTTTCAAAAGTGGCTGTAAATTTTTAGGTTCACAGTTGAATTAATACAATTATACAATATTGAACTCAGTATAAACCCTGTAAGACATAAAATTACATTGTGGCTGCAAGTTTCTAGGTTCACAGTTGAATTAATACAGTTATACAATATTGAACTCCGTAGAAACCCTGTAAGACATAAAATTGAATGGGGTTTTAACCTTTAAAAAAGATCTCCATTTCATTTTAAAATATATTGTTTCATACAGGAAAACTGATTTTTAATACTAGCACTTAGATGTTTTCACATGCATCTCAAATCTCTATGTATCTGATTATTACTAGCCACAGTCAGTTACACTTGGATCCTTGGCACCTGAGTATGGATATAAAGTCATCAGGTAGATTTCAATGGTAATGTTTTCGCCTCTACTAATTACCATGAAGCAAATTTTTATACTTCTTCCTCAAATATAACTCATATTTTTACTTGTTGATTTTTGTGTGTGTGTATTTCATACAGAACATCCCAATCTTATTCATCATGCACTTCCCAAATGGCACCCTCCCATAGCCCCCCCACCAAACTAGGGCCCATATACTCTGTCATCCCTGTTACTGTCAACTGTGTTGTTGGTGCCCCCAGCCATTCCCCGGTGCTTGTCCATCCGCTGAATCTAGTCAGCCTATCTAGAGTTCCTTATTTTAGGAAGATCAGCTCCTCCTCAATCCACTGGATCTAGTCAGCCAGAGTTCCTTGTTGAAGATCTGCTTTTCCTCATCTAGCAGCAATGAGTTGCCAATATTCCTTTAGATAAGATTGGGATCTGCTGTTCATTTTCCCAGTTCTATGCTGGGTTACTGTCTGGGAGTCTCTTGGGCTAGGCAACAACACAAAGTAAGGTATCTCCTGTCTGGCGTTGTTTCTTGTTATGTATACACATGGACTCTTAAAAAATTATATTGGCCCCTTTAATCTTTGGTTATACTTTCCTTTTGGGTGTTTAAGACCATACAGTTGACCCAGATAAACCAATTTATTTTTACTCTTAAGGCCATTTGAGAATCTGTTCCTCAGGGGTCACATGGGCTTGGGAGGAGCCCCTGGCTTCTTTCTTTTACCAGTTCCATCTATGTTGACATCAAAGGTCCTGCTTGCCCATGGCTGGCTTCAGTTGGAAGCATGGAAGAAATGTTTCCTCTGTGCTGACCCTCTTCTTTGTAGACTGGACACTGGTTCAAGTCCATTTGATGGGGTCTCCACAGCCTCCTTGAGCAAGAGGACAGGTGACTCACCACAGTAACAGGACATTTTGAGAGATGCTCATAGTCCCCTGGAACTTAGTCAACCTAGGAGGGCAAAGAGCAAAAACTGTCCTTTATGTCCCTCTGACCAAATTAGTACAGGCCTCAAAGTATGGCTGTTAAATATCCGAGAAGGTTAGTTCCACTGGTTTGGTACTTTATGTGCCATGTACATAAAGCTTGGGCAAAAACCAAACGTTATCAGATAAACCTTGCCTAGATATATATTATATTCCTTGAGCTAGTTGTATGTATAATTTGTCAGTAGGTTGTTTGATTACTATGTTTCCCTCTGGTTTTTTTTTTTTTAAACTAGCTAGGCATTATTTATCTCTCAGTCTTCAACCCTTCCACCATGGTTTCCCCATTAAAGTGCCCCCATTTCTCCCATTTCTCCCTTTATTAATACCTTTCTCCTAAGCTCCCACCTCTCTTGAGCTCTTCTTTCCTTTTATCCCCAAGTTTCCGTATATAACCCTCCTTTCCCGCCCTCCTTCTACTAGTCCACCCCCTTAAAATAACCCAATTTTTATCTATATCTCCCTTATAAATGCCTGTTTCCTACTGCTCTTCTCTTTCAGATTTCTTTCTTTGCTTTTACCTCCCTGGTTCCTTTTCATTATCCTGGTTCCTGTAGTTATGTTTGGAAACATACTCTCTCATAAGGATTTGGTGCTAGGATCCACATATGAAGGAGAACATACTTTTTTGTTTGTTTTGTTTTGTTTTTTTCCTTGAGTTTGTGTTATTTCATGTAGTATAAGAGTATCTAGTTCCATCCATTTACCTGCAAATTTGATGATTTCATCTTTCTTTACTGCTGAGTAAAACTCCATCATATAAATGAACCACATTTTCTTTCTTTATTTATTTTTTTAGCTTTTAAAAAATTATTATTTTTTATTTTATGCATATGCATGTATTGCCTGCATGTAGGTAAGTGCACCCATGTCCAGCAATGCCCTTGGGGGGTCAGAAGAGGCTGTCGGATCCCCTGGGACTGGAATTACAGACAGTTGTTAGCTACCATGTGGGTGCTGGGATTCACACCCGGGTCTTCTGCAAGAATAACCAGTGTTCTTAACACTCAGCCATCTCTCCAGCCCCATGAACCACATTTTCATTATCCACTCATCAGTTGAGGGTCACTTAGGTTACTTCCATCTCTTAGCTATTGTGAAAAGAGTAGCAACAAACATGGAGATGTACAAGTGTCTCTGCAATAGGATGAGTTCTTTGGGTATATACCAAGCAGTGGTATAACTGGGTCAAATGGTAGGTTCATTTATAGTTTTTTAAGTGTTTTCCACACTGCTTTCCATAGGGGTTGTACAAGTTTGCAGTTCCACCAGCAGTGGATGATCATTCCCCTTTCCCCACATCCTCTCCAACCTTTAGTATTATTTGTTCTTTTGATCTTAGCCAGTCTGACTGGGGTAAGATGAAATCTTAAAGTGGTTTTAATTTGTATTTCCCTAATTACTAGTGATGTTGAACACCTTTTAAGATGCTTCTTAGCCGTCTTTATTTCTTCTTTTGAGAACTCTCTGTTCAGTTCCTTAGCCCCTCTTTTAATTGGGCTACTTCCTTTCTTGATTCTTTGTTTTTTGAGTTCGTTACATATTCTGGATGTTAAACCTCTATCAGATGTTTTGCTGGTGAAGACTTTCTCCCATTCTGTGGGTTTTCTCTTCACTTCCTTGGTTGCTTCTTTTGATGTGCAGAAGCTTTTTAGTTTAATGAGGTCCCATTTGTTGATTCTTGACCTTGTTTCCTGAGCAATTGATGTCCGGTTTAGAAAATCCTTTCCTACACCTATATCTTGTAGGTAGGAATGTTTTCATGATCTGTGTTTTCTTCTAACAGTTTCAGACTTTCAGGCTTCACATTGAGGTCTTTGATCCATTTGGAGTTGACTTTTGTGCAAGGTGAAAGATAGGGGTTTAGTTTCATTCTTCTACAAGTGGAGATCCAGTTTTGCCAGCACCATTTGCTGAACATGCTTTCTTTCCTCCAGTGAATGTTCTTGGCCCCTTTGTCAAATATCTGGTGGCTGAAATTACATGTACTCCTATTTGGATCTTCAATTTTGTTCCATTGATCTACAAGTCTGTCTTTGTGCCAGTACCATGTTGTTTTTAGGACTATAGCTCTGTAATACAGTTTAAAGTATGACATTGCTCTTATTCCTCAGGGTTGCTTTGGCTATCCGAGGTCTTTTGTGCTTCCATATGAATCTTAGGATGGTTTTTCCAATTCTGTGAAGAATGTCATGGGGATTTTGATTGGCATTGCATTGAATCTATAAATGGCTTTTGGGTCATTTTCACAATATTAAGTCTTCCAACCCATGAGCATGGGAGATCCTTCCATCTTCTGATGTCTTCCTCAATCTCTTTCTTTAATGATTTAAATTTTTCATTGTAGAGCTCTTTAATGTCTTTGGTCAGGTTTATTCCAAGAATTTTTTAAGCTATTGTGAAGGGGAGTGTTTCCATGGAGTCTTTCTCTGATTGCTTGTTATTGGAATATAGAAAGGCTACCGACTTTTGTAGATTAATTTTGTAACCTGTCACTTTACTGAACGTGTCAATAATTTGTAGAAGTTTTCTGGTGGAAATTTTGGCATCTCTTAGATATAATGTATCGACTGCAAAAAGGGATAATTTGATCTCTTCTTTTGC